TCATCAAATTCTATAGATGGAAAGTCTAATTGAAGTGTTTAAAATGTTCAATTAATCACATAATGTTAAGTGTTGGTGGAAGGTGTGTAATTGATTTGCATTTGATTTCATATTAGTTTTTGTTCAGTAACATAATGATTATAAAATTCTAAAGGAGAAAAATACAAAAGAAAACTAATTATAGAGGTCAGACTAAACTATAATAATGATAAATTCAAATGACTAAAATGATTTAATTACATTATCAATGATCAAATGATCAATTCATAAAAATATAAACAATAAAATCATTAATATACATATATAGTTAGCAATCAATTAAAAAAATTGAAATGCAAAAAATAAAAAAATGTTTCAATGAGTTAATTATGATTATCTTTAATGCATTTATTTATTAACATAAATTACATGTGCAATTGTTTTTACAACAATAAAGAAACAAACTTCATATAATTATCTTATTCTTATACACTCTAATAAGTATTGATTTCATTTTATTTGTATTTTTATTTAATGTAAAAATCATATTTTTGTCTTAATATGAGTCTAAATGTCTAATATAAAAAATTTATTTAAATTAAAATTTATAAAAAATCATTAATGGTATTTTGATCAATCACATTTAATATTTTTGGAATTAAAAAGTTATTAAAAATATTTTAATTAATCACTTCTAGTGCTTTTTAAGTCTAATTATATATATATAAAAAAGAGTCTAATAATAAAAAAAATTCATTTAAATTAAAATCTAGATAAAATTTGCTAAGGATATTTTATTCAATCGGTTTTAACACTTTTAAATTAAAATTTTAAATAATTTAATTTCATATAAACTCTATTTTTAATTTTAGTAGATTTAAATTAAACTTAAATAGATTAATAAAAACTCTATATTTAAGGATTAGTTTGTTAATTAAAAAATTCATAGGGGTATTTAGGTCGATCATTTTTAATAGTTTTGGAATTGACACTTTTATATATAGATAGATAGATAGATAGATAGCTAATAATAAGTTCTGATATTATTTTATTTATATTTTTATTTGATGTGAAAATCATATTTTGTGTTTTAATATAAATCTAAATGTCTAATTATAACAAATTCTAATAATCATAAAAAAATTCATTTAAATTAAAATTTATACAATAATTTACTAATAATATTTTGATCTATCACTTTTAATATTTTTTAAATTAAAATTTTATTAAGTGTATTTTAAGTAATTACATTTAGCATTTTTTGAGTCTAATTATAAAAATGAGAATAATAATAATAATAAAATTCATTTAAATTAAAATTTATAAAAAATATTACTAAGGGTATTTTATTCTATCACTTTTAATACTTTTAGATTTAAAATTTTAAAATTTTAAATAGTTTAATTTCATATAGACTTTATTTATAATTTTTTTGAATTTAAATTAAACTTAAATAAATTAATAAAAGCTATATATTTAAGGATTAATTTGTTAATTTAAAACTATATAAGAATATTTAGGTCAATAACTTTTAATAATTTTAAAATTTATAGATAAATAATAGATAATATATAATACATAAAAAGTTCATGTAGTGCCTTTCAAAGCTTTGAAGAACAGAACAAATTAACCTTTCATTCATTGGATCTTATGGCATCTTCAAGCTAACAAAGCTTCAGGGGCAGTGCAACAAGTGAAAAATTGAACTTAAATCTCTGTCCAGCATTATTGGATTAATGCATTTCAACCAAGTGGGGATTCTAGATGAGCTAAATTCCTGCCTGTCTTGGAATTTCTTGCTGCCTATACAAATTATCATCTTCAATTCATTTAAATTCTACTTATGACCCAGCCAAACTGGACCATCCCTGGTCAGTATTTCTGACTAAGATTCAAATTTCCAAACTTTAGATATATAGGCCTTTCAAAATTTTAAATACTTCGTTTACAAGTCTTTGATAAATGACTTTTCACCAGGTTAACTTGATTGGCTATAACTATCTCAACCATAGAGTTAAAAAAAAAAAAAAAACTATTTCAACCATATAAAAATGCCTTAATTATTAAGCAAAATCCATGTACGCATATATACTGTGATCAAAGGATATTGCTTCATACAATTGTTGCAGAACTGTAGAAATTAAGTGATTACGCCACACTAATAGCTAGGATTTCAAGTATAAATCTTCGATATTTTATTGAATGAAATTATAGTTATACTTTTTATTTCATTGTAATTATATTCTTTTAAAAATGGGTAAATAATATCAATTTCCTTAAGTATTTTCGTCTATTCGTTTAAATAAATTCAAATAAGTATTTTTTGAAAAAAATTATTAGTCAATAAAAAATTAACAAAATGTGAAATATTCTGAAATGTTAAAATTTTAATTATATCGAAATAAAAAAATTGTAATCTTAATTTCATGACATAATAAAAAAATCAAGAATTTATTTTTATTTTAATAAAATTTATTTGAGTTTTTTTTTTCTCAAATTTTGAATGATTTTTATTTTTCTCGAATTTGAATGATTTTAATTCGCTTGGCTAGCTAAGATATTGTCGTAGCTAGAAATACTTCATTTGATTTTTATAAAATTAGTACTTCACATATCACGGGAAATTCTTTTGCTCCAAAATTTATCATGGTACCGGATTTTACTCTATTTGTTTCAAATATTGCCGTGACGGACGATTGATAAGGGGTTGTCCTCTTTTTACTTCAGATTTTAGATAGAATTAATGTAATGAATAATTTTAAATTATATATATTAAAATATTTAATATAATATTTAAATTTTAAAAATTTATAATGTAATATTTGAATTATAAATTTATTGATTAATATAATATTTATTCATAACATAATTAACTTTAAAAAATAATACATGATGAATAAATAATTTTTTAAATATTATATTAATTAATATATTTATAATTTATATATTATATTAAAAAAATTTTAACATTTAAATGTCATATTGAATATTTATTATAATTTAAAAATCATTTATAATTTTAACTTTTTTTAAATATTGAAATTTATATTTACTTTGTCGCCTTTTGTTTCAAGTTTTAATATCGTAAGTGTGGATTAGTTATGGGCAGCACTTTGCGTTTTGGATTTCGGATGGTGGAGTTAATCTTGTTTTGTCTTGCTTGTGTTATTAGCTTCTTTTGTTTATGACGCATTTGTCTCTGTTGGGATAATTACCTCCGCTGATTTGGCTTGTTTTAGATATATATATATATATATATATATATATATATATATATTTTTGGGCATAGTTGGGATAATCCGCTTACAAACATACAATCTAGAGGCCTTAGCCCTTACAATACCTAAAATATCCTCTCAATAAATTTCACAACTTCCATTCTTCTTATAAGGGGCGGCTCCAAATAGGTAATTGTTTTTATTTTTTATTTTTATCTTTAATATTTAAGTAATCTTTTTATAAATATATATTAATATATATTTTTTAACAAAAATATATTAATTTTAATTAATCTAAAAAAATAATTTATATTATTTAATAGAATTTTTTATTAAATATATAAATATATATGTAAAGTACAGATACAAAATAAATATTATATTATTCATCTTTATTTTTGTATCTAATAAAAATATAAAATTATATTTATATTTATTTTTATATTCATAATATATTTATTTTTATTTAGATAAAAAATTGAATTTATCATTAAATATAAAATTGATATTCCTTAACTGAATAACGCTGCTATAATTATCGAGGCTAGAATCAACAAGAAAAATAAATTGACTCATATGCAAAAAATAGGTGAGACAAAACAGGACAGTTCTAATTGAGCTTTATACTGTCTAGTGTTTGACTTGGAGCTCTTGTGTCTGTTAATCTTTGAAAATTTTATCTAAGATTCGATCTAGTATAGTTTTAATATTATTAAAAAATATTATTAAATTAATTTAAAATTTAAATTAAATAAAAATATTTTTATTAATTAAATAATATCTCGAATTAGACTGAACTTTGTCTAAATGAACAGGTCTAGAACATCAACTTCAACATCAAAAGGAAAAGGATAAAGAAACAAGAGTTCTTTCCTCAACACTCTAATTGGATTAATCTGACCATAGGACTTTTCATTTATTATAAAAAAGAACAGGAGATGATTTCACACATTCCATAATACATTTAATCCGTTTATTTTCAAGAGTTAATATTTGATGGGTCGATTGATGTAAGATGTGGGTTCGTGAATTTGATTATAAGATTGTAAAAATTTTGAAAGTTTAAAAAATAAAGTCATTATTAATATTTTTTATTATGTATGATTGATCATTTAAAAAATATAGTTTTTAATAAAAAATAAATTTAAAGTTTATCACAAAAATATTTTTAGTTTTTGAAAATAAAATTAGATTCAAAAATATAATTACACGTAAGGAATAATTAGTATCCTCGCATCATCTATTTAAAATAGTATTAATTAATCATGTATTATCTTTGATGTTGTACAATAATAGTTTCAATTTGATATTTAATGATAATTCCTTTCACTTTTAAAAAAAATTATTTGATAAAAACTTTATTTAGAAATATTGAGAAAATCTTTAGTTAAAGTATTACATTAAAATTCTTCAATATTTAGACAAGATTTTAATGTAACTATTTTCGTTTAAGATTCACCGTAACACTATTTTAAAATATAAATAACATTATTTGTAGATAATAATTATTTATGATTCTCTAGCCTCTAGGCAAAATATCGAGAATTATTTCATTCGAAATGTTATTTTAATTTTATTTTAAAATCTATAATTTTTTAATAACATTTTCTATGAAAAATATTTTATACAAAAAAATTGATGATGCGACAATAACAAAATAAATTACTGTAATTAAAGGACATATGCATGATGAATACAAACAATACTCTTAAAAATATGCAAATGGATATCATGCATAATTGTAAACACAATTTTTTTATTATTATTTTTTATATCTTTTTTCTTTCTTTCTTTTTCTAGCACCTTTTTACTTGTTGCAGCTGCACTGCCAGAGCCATCAGCAGTCGCATTGCTAGCGGCTCTGACAGTCACCTGCAACTGCACTGTTAGCAGTTTTGATAACCACTGACAGTCATTCTGACAGTCGATGGCTGCCTTAATCATAGGCAATCAAAATCCCATATTTTCTAGGATTTTGTTCTTCCTTTTTTCACTCTATAAATAGAGCCATGGGAATCCGTTTAGAAGGGACCTAGAACAAAAAATAAATGAAGAAGCCCTGCAAAAACAAAAAAAATCAAATAAAAAACTCATTGCTAGATTAAAAAAAACTATCTGTGAAAAAAAGAGGAAAAATCAAATACAAAAAACACAAAAAAAAAAAAAAAACACATAGTCCCTAGAACGGGAACTATAACACTGGTCTAAAAATATAAAAAATAAAAAATCATTTTGGCCAAATCTTTCACGTCAGATCTTCGCAGTTCGAAGAGATTTTTTGCAAAACTATTCTCAAATTTGTATTTGGATGGTTGAAGGGAAGATTTTGGGTGATTTTAAGTTTTTCAGTGATTGACGGATGATGATGGTAATCGATGGATAGCACAGTGTAGGAGTCATCGGATTTTAGGTTTCTAGAGAGAGAATAAAAGTGTTTGAGATGAACAGAGAGAGAAAAAGAAAACTAAAAAAAATTTGATTTGGCCTTTAAATAGGCCTTCAAAACGACATTATTTAGGCAAAAGCAAAACGACACTGTTTTAAACCCAAAAAGATCCGTGCGTTAGCCTTGACCCGACTTGGGGTATGCGCACCTGACTCGGTGACTCATCATCCCTCAGCCTTTGATCGGTCCAGTTGAATTGGATCAGATTGGATCGAACAGTCGAACCGACCGAACTTGCATTGATTGGACTGTTGATCGGTCTGATTCAGATATTATTTTTGAATGTTTTTTTATTTTAAAATATTTTATTAATATTTATGCATGTTAAAATGTTTAAATTTGCTAAGATAAATTTTTGTTGTAATTAATAAAAAAATAAATAAATAATGAAATACAAAATTAAAATTTTTTATAATTTTGTTAAAATTTGGAATAAACCTTATAAAATAATTAAAAAAATTAATAAAAAATAGCATATATAAAGAATAATAAAAAATATAAGAAAAGGAAAATTTTATCCAACAATGAGATTCAAAGGTATTCCGAGTAGTGACACCTACGAAATCTCTATGTGAGAAAACTTATTTTTTAATACTACTAATGTATTGGAATATTTATAAAGAGTTTTCAATATAATAAAAATTTTTTTGCGTAAAGTTAAAAATAAAATAAAGATGAAGGGAAAAAAAAACTATTATCTCGAAGGATAAGCATTCTTAAAGTGATTTCGGAGTAATGATGCTTTACCCCGAAAATCTTTAGGTGAGAAATTCTTTTTTTAATAATTACCATGGTATTGGAATAAATTTATAAAAATCTTTATAATATGGATAAAAAATTTCTTTCTTCAATAAACAATAAAAATAATAATTCAATAAATAAGATCAATAAAATTTCTAAAGAAGAGAATAAAATGTGTGCATCAATATATTAGTATTTTGCATTGCATGCATAACATAATTTTTACGAAAAATAAATCTGAGCATCCGAGGATGAGATTCTTAGTTATTTCGAGAAGCGATGCCTAAAAAATCTCTAGGTGAGAGAAAGTTTTTCTAATGTTATCAACGTACAGAAACATTTTAAGAATTTTTTCAATAAAAAAATTCTAATTTATTTTTCTTGAATAAAAATGAAACAATAAGTAATAAAAGATATTAAAAAACAAAAAAACAAAAATTCAATAAATTAAGGAAATCATTTTTTTCAAACATAAAAAATAAGATTGTTTTTATCAAAATCAATGGATAATACTAATTAATTGGTACCGTTTTAAATGGGTGCTGTGGGGTGTTAATCTTTTCCCATACATAACCAACTCCTAGACCTAGACTATTTTACAGACCCAAAAATTATCTTTTTAATAAATTTTAATTAATTTTAAGATTTTATTAAAATGATAAATTTTAATAGGTGACCAATCGCATCTAGCTAAAAAAAATTAGTGGTGACTCCCTTTTTTTTTTCCTTTCATTTCCAAATTTGTTAGGCGGACACAATCGTTACAACAATAATGATAAGATGAAATTTTGAAATCGGGTTCTTAAATATAAAAAGACCAGCTGGACTCTTTAGCCTTTAAACAGAGTTTAGGTATGAGTATTAATATTTAAATCCTACTTTTATTTCTTTTGTTTTGTTTGACCTTATTATTATTTTTTGGTTAAGAAATTATACGAAAAACTTAATGAAATAAAATTTCCTAAGTACCTCATCCTTTAGATGGCATTTAGGAATATATTATTTCATATAGGATTTTCATGCAAATCCTTTGAATTTGGGAAGGCTTTGGGTGTTGAAATGAGTTCAAGGTTTTTGGGATTTGACTAGTTTTAGGGTTTGGATGATTTAAGGTTTAGGGTTGGATTTAAAGCTTGGGTCAAATTTAAGGTTAAAGCCTAAGTTCAGCGTTTAGTTTAGGGCTTAAGGTTTGGTTTAGGTTTAGGGCTTCGGTTAAGGTTAGTTTTGGTGAGATTTAAGGTTTGAGGTAAGTTTAAGGCTTTGATGTAGGTTAAGGTTAAGGTTTGGATTTTTTATTTTAAGGTTTTAATTTTAGGGTTTAGGGTGTGGGCCAAATTTAAGGTTTTTTAGTTAGGATTAGGGTTTAGGGTAAGTTTAGGGTTTTGGCTAAGGTTAGGGTTTATGTTTTGACTTTAGGGTTTAGAGTTTGGTCTAGGGTTTAGTGGTTGATTTTGGGTTTTAAGGTTTGACTTGAGGATTTAGGATTTGACTTTAAGGTTTAGGGTTTAACTTTGGGGTTTTAGGGTTTGACTTTGGGTTTAAGGTTCATTTTAGGGTTTAAGCTAGGTTTAGGTTTGGTTTAGGTTAAAATTTAGATTAATATTATGATTTAAGGTTAGGTTTAAGTTAGGGTTTAGATAATTTCAGGCTTAAGATATTTTATGGTTTCAATTTATGTGTATGGTTTGGGGTATTTAGGTTTTGGTTTAGGGTTTTCTTAGGGTTTTCGTATTTTTGTGAACTTATTCAAAAATCCCCAACATTTAGATAGACTTTTAGAATAAGCTTGTTTTTCATTAATTTTCTAAACAATTGGATTTTTATTGGTTTTTTTGGGTAACATTTCAAAATGCAAGTGATAAGTAACATGCTTACTAGTAAAATATAGGTGAACATGAATATAGTATAAATTTAAATGAGCAATGTTAATCATGAATGAGAATGAAATATATGAAACTTATAGAACATAAAATTTAAAGTATTTGAAATTTAAATAACATAAAACAAACATTATGCAACAAAAATAAAAGAAAAAAAAAAGGCTACAAATGATGATCCAACCCTAAGTAAACAAAAAAGAAAGTGCAAGCTTAAGACAACATAAACAAACCAATTACTACCTAAGCTAAAGTCCAAAAAAAAAAAAAAACCCAAAACCATTAAATTTCATTAGCAAAAATGGGGAACATGAAGCAAAAAAAATAAAATAAAAATGGGCTAATAGCATTGCAAAAATTAAATTCAAGTAGGATCTAAGACAAGATAACACAGATAGCACCAACACAAAACAAGAAAAAAATTATATAAATGGCAGTCACTATGAACCCAAAACTGCAGAGGGAAGATGATTTTGAGTTTTATTACATTCTAGTGACTTTAACACAGAAAGGGATATGAAGAAAAGTATGAGAGCAAAGTTAAAGATGTTACCTTTCTAAACTTTTTCTTTAATATTTCCTTTTTTTTTTCTATTTTTTTCCTCCTTTCTTGTGTCTTTCCATCAACCACTCTTTCCAAATTGAAAAACTCTTTGTTTCAACCCCTTAACCCCATCATTTAAAAGCCCTCAACCTTGCATATAAGTTCTTAGATTAAAAGAAAATCAATGGAGAAAAAATATTTGTCTTTTTCTTATGAAATTTGGTGGCCAAACTCATGATGTGAACCATTGAATTATGGTATTTTAAGATCTAAAGGTTCAAATATTTTCTTGCACATTCTTTTGTCTTTATGCGTGGCAATCCCTTTATAACATAAGGAATAATAATTTTGCCCTTATTAGTGTTTTGAGCATTGTTCATGATTTTCTCTAGAATCTTATGATTCAATATTTATTTTCATGATTTTAATGGACCAAAATTTATAAAATAATATTTAATTATGATCTAAAGCTTTTTATGAAAATTGACCCTGAGAAAGCCAAATTACAAAAATGTCATAAAAAATATTTTAGTAATTTTACTTTTTTTGAGGTGCAATCAAGATCTTTAATGCATTAAAATTCATGAAATAATATTTAAATATAATCTAGAATGTTTCACAAAAAACTGACCCCAAAAGGTCAAATTATAAAAATATCTTTTAAAAGGTATTTTAGTAATTTCATAATTTTTAAGTGCAATCAAGATTTTTAAAACATTAAAATTTATAAAATAATATTTATGGAGAAATCCCAAAAGGTAAAATGACGAAAATAACTCAAAAATATATTTTTATAATTTAACTCTTCTTGAGGTCCAACAGGATTTTAGAAAGTTCAAATCATAATTTTATTAATCATAAATCTTAATAGTCATATTCAATCGTCAATTTCATTGGTTGACTCAAGTTTAACTAAATTTGATTAAATTTGATTAAGTTTAATCAAGAGGCATTTTGACCATTTTAGCTCAAAATTTAATTTTGAAAACTCATGAATCGTAAATGAAACTTGGACATGAATTGGGTTTTGATCTTAACAATATCACAATCAATTAGAATGTGTTCGGATAAAATTATGTATATACATTGATAGTATATAAATATTGTATATTATCAATCAATCATATTATAATATTTTATTAATAAATAAAATAAAAAATAATTAGAGCCTTAAAATAAGTATAAATGAAGTTATCATATGATTTATTAAAATTTATTTATAAGAATTTGTTTACTTTTTATTTTATTCGTCAATGTGGTATCATGATTTAGTTGATTGATAGTTTATAATACTTATATAATATTAATGCATCAAATATTATTGAAAAAATCAAAA